GTTGAAGCCCAAATCCTCAATGCGACTGTATTTGAAACAGAACTTTCAGGGCGTAATTAAGGTTAAACGAGGTCATAAAGGTGGAGTTCTAATATAATATGACTGGTGGCCTCATAAGAAGAGGAAGCGATATCTGTCTCTCCATACTTGCAGTCATGGGGGAGGGGCCACACGAGGGCACAGCAAGAAGGCAGCCGTCTGCAAGCCAAGGATGAGAGTCCTCACCAGAAGCCAAACTGGCTTGCACTTTGATTTTGGGCTTCCAGCCTCCAGTCTACAGTATTTCATGATGGCAGTCCGAGCAGACTGAACAGGGCAGAAGCTGAAACTACATTTAGCTTTTTCACTGAAGTATAATTGATTTATAATGTTGTGTTAGTTTCTGGTGCATAGCATAGTGATTCAGTTGTACACATGTGTATGTATTTTTTTCAGATACAAGATATTGAATATAGTCCCCTGTGCTATACAGCAGGACCTCGTTGTTTATCTATTTTCTATATAGCAGTTTGTATCTGCTAATCCCACACTCCTAAGTTATCCCTCCCCACTGGTAACCATAAGTTTGTTCTCTATCTCTGTGAGTCTATTTCTGTTTTTGTAAACAAGTTCATTTGTATCATTTTTTAGATTCCACATATAAGTGGCACCATATGGTATTTGTCTTTCCCTGACTTAACTTCACTAGTATGTCCATCCACGTTGCTGCAAATGGCATTATTTCATTCTCTTTTGGGTGAGCAGTATTCTATTGTACATTTACAGATCACAGCTTCTTTAACGAATCATTTGTCGATAGACATTTAGGTTGCAGAAGCTGAAAACTATAAAATGCCAGGAAGAAAATGGGAAACACCCTCCAGGACAAAGATAAATGGTAAAGAACAAGGTGACTTTGCCTCTTCTCGGACAGCGTGTACCCCAATCCTCCGTACTCCTTCCCTCTCAATTCTATCTTTTGATTTGGGCGTTTATGAAAATGTGTTTGAGGAGTGTTGAAAATGGAGGAAGGCACATGGTGCCCTGCCAGGAGGAGGCATGGTTTGTGGGCTCTACCATTACTGGTCCAAAATGAGCACTCTTTAGAGTAGCTTCCTGTGCCACTCCAGATGGAAAACCTGGATAACTGCAAGATTTGCTTTTACAGTGACCCCAGAACACTGGAGGCCATCACGACTGGAAGCGAGGATCCTGACAGCCCTGACATTTGAGGTCAGTGCTGCTGCTGTCACTGTTGTTGTTAATTAATCTTCAAGTTTCTTCTTGCATAAAACATCTATTTAAAAGTCTAGTTTAATCGCATTGTGCTAAGAGAATGCAGACTGTATAGTCAAGTGTGAGATTTTTTTATATTAATCTAATTATTTTTTGTCCCATTTATCTCTTCTTCAGGAGTATGAATTTTTGAATTTCCATTCTCTGTTCTCTGTCTCTATCATCTTTATCGAGTCGCCTGTCAATGGAATTTAAGTTACTTCCATGTCTCGGCTATTGTAAATAGCGCTGCTATGAACATTGGGGTGGCTGTATATTTTTGAAGTAGAGTTTCCTCCAGTTACATACCCAGGAGTGGGATTGCTGGATCATAGGGTGAGTCTATTTTTAGTGTTTTAAGGAATCTTCATACTGTTTTCCATAATGGTTGCAACAAACTACATTCCCACCAACAGTGAAGGAGGGTTCCCTTTCCTCAATACCCTCTCCAGCGTTTGTTCTTTGTAGACTTTTTGATAATGGCCATTTTCACCTATTTTCCTAATTTTCAACCGTCGTGATTACTTTGAACCTATGATATACCTATTAACTACTGTACCTCCAGATCACACTAACTTGCATCAAACTCTAGCATGAGTGATTAGCAATGATTTTTACTTTCACATGTTTTTCTTCAATTACTAATTCTAACAGATGGAAATCACTGCATATGTATGTGGCATATCTCAAATTCTCTCACAAAAGAAATTGCTGTGTTTAGCTTAAATAACCGTATGCATGTCTTAGAGATATTCCAACATCTGGCTCTACTTTGCAAAAGCTTGTTTTCTCACAAGTTATACCAGAAAGAATGCATTTGAAAACAGAAAGTCATGGATATCTACAAGAAAACCACATCAGTGGGACCGTAAAATACTTGCTTAAGTAAACATTAGGAATGTGACAAATTGCAAATTTCCTATAAAGGACTATAAAATTCCAACTGCGAACTCTGGGTTGGGAGTAGAGAGGAGAGTGGAGATAGGAGTGGTTCCTGAACCTGAGAGACGACTCCTGTTTTCTAACTTTTGATGAAAGTATTGATGCTCAACCTGTTGGCTGAGATGTTATCATTGGTCTTTACAACTATTGCTCTTGACAACTCCTCCTCAAGATATCTCATATAAAGTCTATAGGTCCCACCACGACGCTGATGGGAAGAGCAAAGCCTTTTAAGGGAAGTTAGAAATATCTCACTGAAACCCGTAGCATCAGAAAGACTTCATTATCAGAAAAACAGAGATAATGGTAACCATAAAATAATCAGAACTCTCCAGGAAAGCAGGGACAATGTCTTGAGGACAGCATGGTACAGATCTCTACAGTTCACCTTGTTCTCTGATCTTAAATAAATAATCCTGAACCTACAACCAGTGGCTTTTTCATTTGTTTTAAATTCTGATCTATTTCAAATTCCTGATTAGCTACTCAGTGAAACACTGACCTCTAATGTATTTACAGTAGCCATTAACACTTTACATGCTGTTTTTATACAACAGAGATATATTGGACTATTTCATCATTTGAGGATTGCTACAGTTTGAACACTTTGAGACACATTATTACAGTGGAAGCCATGCATTTATTGGCATATTTATATTTTGGTTTATTTAAATGGCCCATATATATTGTGTGTCACAAAAAGACAACGGTTGTAGCTACTTAAAAATAGGTATCAGGACTTGGAGAAATAGCTGATTCCACATCTGGGGGCAAGAAATAGGGAAGTGAGCCTGGAACATCTTATCATCCCCAAAAGTGAAGAAATTATCAAAGTTATTAGGATCATGTCAAAAGGACTCAAGAACCAACCTGAAGATGCTCCCATTGGCCAAAAATGGAATTAAAATGCACAACAGCAAAGATAAGAACTGTGATGGCATTTAGATCTATTATTTCATAGGGATACTTGAAAAAATACTTATCACTATTGTATGATACCAGAAAACTAACTCATCATTTTGAAATTTATTAAGAAAAGAGTGAGAAACAATTATGCTGCATTTAAAAAAAATAAAAACTAGGAACTAACGGTTATCAATTAATAAATGCTAAATTTCTCTTCAAAGAATTCCAGCTAACAGATGAAAAACAAAATAGTAGAAATAGAATATCACTGATTTGAAACTCTTAGTAAACTGATGGGTTTAAGTTCTTCAGCATCAGTAGCTACTAACATCACAAAAAGTGAGACAGTCAGACAGTATATGACTTTTGATGAAAGAACAAAATATCTCTTATAAACTGGTTGTGCCCCAACCTCAAAATAATAACCTGAATCTTATCAAGTGGCCAAATACAACTACAAAATTGGAGATAATACAGAAGACAGGGGAACATATTAAACTATACCAGGGTATGCAAATAGCAAAATCCAGATTGTGGGAAATGTGATAAGACAAACTAAAACACACCAGTTCATACAATTTCCAGGGTGGGGAAAGAAGAAGATGGAGGGAGAACCTAAAGATGAAAGTTGACATAAAAGATACATCCACTTCTCACGTTGGGTGGACCTTACATGCATTCGGATTCAAACAGGAGCGTTTGTGGGCAATTGGAAAAATGCACCTGGATGGAGGTCTGATAACCGATTTTAAAACTCTTCTTAAGTTTTTAGTGTGATAAAGACATTGTGGTTACGTGTTTTTTTTTTTAAGAATTATTTGTCTTTCAGAGATCTATACTAAAATATTCACAGGTGAGATGTTAAATCCAGAATTTGCATCAAAATAATAGGGGTTGGGGAAAGTGGATGAGAACATGGACAAGGAGAGACTGGCCGTGGTTCCATGGGCCCTGGTGTCATGGCTCCTGGGGCTGGACGAGGGGGTTGATTACCCTTTTCTGTTTCGTGAATGTTTGAAGTTCTCCATAATAAAAAGCTAAAAGCAAAAACCAAGCAAAGTACATAGGCATTTCTTTGTTTATATCCTACTCTCAATGTTTAACCAATTTTAAATGTTTCAAGGGGAGAAATTTATCAGAACAAATTTTTAAAATCTGGCCTATTCATCAGCTTCGTTTAGTTTTTGCCAAAGCAGCCCATTTTTCTAAGGAAAAAAGGAGGTACAAAGAAGAAACCTTTACTTTACTTCATTCATTTATATTCCCACCTACTTAATTTACTTCACCCATATATCACTCGTACTCAGTAGGGTTACTGACACTGAATGGAAAGTCATTCTAGGAAATAAGACTGTATTCATCTACTTAAGCTTAATTAGATACATCACGATTTTAATAGGACAGAAGTTTACCAACAGAGAGATACCAGTTGTCTATTTACCAGAGAAAACCAGGTAGAAAACGAAACCACACTCCCTCCTGTTTACACAGCATAAGCCACCTTCTAATCCAGTAGACGAAATAATTCTTTCATTTAAGCACTTGGGGCTATTTCTGTTGACTTCGTTTTGACCAATCTTTCATTGCACTTAAAATAACATCAATTTTCCAACGACCCAGTCTGTCCTTTACTTTTTGGCCTTTCCATCTCTCACCTTTCCATTTTTTCAACGTTAGATGCTACTTCTCCATTTACTTGCTGTTTCTCATATTAGCAGACTTTCAAGAGAAACAGAAAAATTTGCTGAAACACAAACCCTGTTAATTAAAAGGTGGGGTGATGACACATCAAAATACTAACTTTAAATTGCTGACACAAAGCAAGTGGCTTAGTTAATCTTTCCGTGGTTAAATGATTTGTTTCTCTCCCGAGTTGATTATAAGTCCTTGTTTCTTCTTTGGGTCTCTGAAAACGATCCTTTTCCCATGTCTTTCTCATGAACCCCCACCATTCACCTGTTTCAAGCCCAGGTGTAAAGGTTAGAATTTAGGGGTTGTGCTCCAAATAGAATCAAATCAGATTTTTTTCCACAAGGTCCTTAAACCAGGGAGGACTGTGTGATCTACAACTAAGAATAACTGTCCTTTAATTAAGGGGTAATTTTACCTCTGTGATTGTTTTGCAACAATATCAAAACGTTTATAAAACGTTTATCCCCACAGATCCTGAAATGCACTTTTTTTTTAGTCCCTGGCTCATTTTCAATTACTGAGACAACCAAGGAAAGAACAAACGCATCCAAACAAGTGAATGGAAAATACATTCGCCTCCTCCTCCTATTTCTCTCGTGTAGAGTCTGTTCTCATTTACGATATTTATATCAAGATCCCCTTTCTTGCATAAAATTGATAATTACAAGAAAAAACACTTACCCAGAACATAAAGTTGAAGATAAACATAGAACATTTTACACAGGCATTCACACCTGCCATGTCGGAAAAGGATCAGGAATCCAGATGATGAGAGTTTCACTGTTCCTTACAGGACCGTCCCACGAATACCCTGGAGTAATTTGCCTGCCGAGATTTCTCCTCTCACAGCTTCAGAGCAGAAATAGAAAATGAAGAAGTTTGTGGGGTGGGGGTAAATCCAGTTATTAAAGTGGGCTAACAAAATGAAATTAACCCACACATTTAAGTACCACAAGAGCTATCTCTAGGCGGGTGTGTTCTTTTGCTTGTCATGGCTCCTGGGGTACTGGGCCGGAATATTTATGATCCTTTTGAGACAGGAAGGGGGCAGGCACAGCCATTCAAGGAATGCTGCAGCAATTAACATCGAAATGATGAAAGATTCAAACCCCAGTAGGCCTTGAGGCTCAAGATGGTGGGAGATCAAACTTCTAGTAGACCTTGAGCTTCATTATACACCCACTGTAATACATTAACATGGTGAATAACATGCCCACAGGCACCATGGCAGTCCCCAGGCTAGCCACAAAAGGTCAAAGAGTGGGAAATGGCCAACTTCCTGGGAATCCCAGCCCCTTCCCCAGGCTAGCTAGACTTGTTCTTACACTTACTAGCACATGAAACCACTGAGCCCGTAAAAACTGGCAACACTATGCCTCACAACCTCTCTCCGCCCCACCCCCACCCCATTTGCAGACGGGCCCGCATTCTGTGGAGTGTGTACCTACTTTTACTCTAATCTGAGCACCCAAGCCCCATACCTCGTGGACTTTCTGTTGCCTTTCTATGTATCTCCCTAAATAAATCTACCTTTACTCAACTAGGCTCGCTCTTGAATTCTTTTCTGCGCAAAGCCAAGGACCCACATTTGGCGGGACACGTCCCAGGGGCTCAGCTGAAGCCTAGGACACGGCCCTCCTCACGCCCCACCTCTGTTTTTCCTGCATCACTTTCTCCGAAACGGCCACCTCTAAAGCAAACTGATGTCAAGTGAAGGGAATGGCGCTGGATCGGGGAGAGAATGCTTAACCATTCTACGTCGACGGATTTCAGATATCATAACCCGACTTTCCTACCCTCTGTTTCGACTGCAGGGAAATAGGTTGTTTGGCCCTGAGATAAAGGGTCATTGTGTCTCAGTTCACTTTTGCACTGCATTTTCTCAAGAATGCAAAATTTCTTCTACATGCAACAAAATGCATTTAGACATCTGCAGAATCTGAAGGCTTAGACACAGCAACCTTTTATCCTTAACTCCAGAATAGTGGGAACAACCATTACATGTACCTGCCTTCCAAAGTTTCTACATTTATTTCAAGACAGTTCCATGGAGTGGCCTTAAATACAGTGCACCTGGGGGAAGTGGGGAGGGAGAGGCTGCCGTGTCCATCATGAGACCATTCAGCTTTTATCTTTACTTCTCTATGATGTAAAAGGAAAAAAATTCTCTGGAGTTACATTCTGACTGTCCCTATTGTATTCATTTTCTAACGTGTAGCCATTTTGATAGCTCAAGTGTTTAAGGTGACTGCTACACTTCTTTCCGCTGATAAATTATGTTTAATCCTCCCCACCAATGAGGTTTTTGGATTTCCCTGGTCTTCTTGGACAAAAAAAAAATTCAAAGTGAGGAGGCAGTCATAGTTCAGTGACCACAGATTGTACAATTTGTTTCTAGTGCTAATAGAAGGCAGATGTCACAGGTAAAGGCAAAATTCTCTGACCTAATCAGGGAGGCATAGACTGCTTTTATGTAAATAATCTGGATCATGTTAATTTCCTCATCCTGCCTCTACAGGGGAGTTCTTTCTCCACCAAATAAAAGGACCCCATACTTCCAAAGATTGTTGGGGAAAATAATTCTTTAAAATCTTTGTGAAGGTCTATACAATAAGCAAGTATGGACTTCTTAAAATTCTGATTAAGTAAAAGAATACTTTTCTAACTTTCTTTGATGCCTTTGAAACAACCCCATTCCCTGACTATTAAAAAAAAATACATTTTAATGTAACAGTGGCAATAATATTTAGTG